TACAACCTTCTTTCTGCAAACCAGGGAAAGGTGCAAGAGCACATTTCAGTGCGGCTAGGCAGACCAAGGATGTACTGCCACAGCCACAGCTGGATAAAACAACGAAACCAACCAAAAAAACAAAGCCTGTGAAGAGCCCAAGCACCCACTTGGTGCTGGGGAAGACTGTAAGTGAACACAGAGCAACTTCCTGAGGATGATCAGTTGATTCCTGAGGTCCACCAGGGAAATACTTGCAGTTATACACGGCCACACAGAAGCAGCCTAAGCAGTGGCCCATGCCCAGCCTCATGAGTGGCTGAGCCCTGCTGCTTGCTGTAAATCATGGAGCGCAGATGGTGTTCGTGCACCCTCCTCATCTCTTCCAAGGGATTTCCAGTAGCTGTGCCATTGTTGGTCAAGGTCTTGACTGAAGGCATGTCAACTTGCCACAAGCACCCACCAAAAAATGTTCTTGCCTGTCAGCCAGTTTAATGCAGCCCCTCCAATTCAGGCCTGTCTGTTTTGATAGCTTTACTCTCGTTGATGTTGTCCTTCCAGCTCACTGGGCCCAGCTTTATCCCAGCGCTGCACCACTGCCCTGTCCCTGCTGCCCACATCTCCCCCAAGAGAGGAAAAGAAAATGTGAAGAGGATGTTGACGCCTAACCAGAGCTGCTAGAGCCAAGGCACTGGCTTAAAAATGAACTGACAAATGTGCAAATGTTGTGGTTTGTGCAAGTGGTTATAGAAAGCGGCAGAGTTGGTGAATCTCTTGAGTCACTAGAAAATGAATGATGCATCAAAGATTTTGTGGTTGGAAGCACTTTCTGTTACAAATGTTTGGTTTTTCTCTGGGAAGGCTTAGGTGCAACTGATTGGTGCAAGTGACACAGACTCATTGAAACTGAATGTGCAAAGTATATAACTGAAGTATGTGATGCCATATGCTATGGATAAACAGTTTCTGGGTATTTCTGAGACTTTTGTGGGATTTCAGTTTGATTTTAGGGGAGGATTCTAAGGGTACTCAGAAGTCCAGCTCTTTTCCTCAGAGGAATGCATGTAAGAGAACCAGTGCTGTGCTGATGTACTAGCTGAGTAGTGGTGGCCCTCCAGCAGGAACTGGGCAGGTGGTCTCAGTAGGAGCAGGGGCAGATGAGGAGCTTCCAGCCCAGTGCATGCAGGGAACACTACAAATTGTGGATGTAGGATTGCAGGGAGGCAACCAGCAGGGGCCAGGGTACAGCCTGGCAGCACAAGAGGACATGGGCCCTGCAGCACGGGGCAGAGATTGAGGTGGGACTTCTGAGACAGACAGTAAAAACCACAAGCTGCTCCTTGCACTGAAAAGGAGGTTTTTGTATCATTTCCCCATTGCTTTGTGTCACCGTGCAGCAGTACTGCTGCTGTCGTAGCTCCCACAGTAATAGACAGCCTCGTCCTCGGCTTGGACCCCAGTGATGGTTAATGTGGCTGTGGAGCCAGATCGGGAACCAGAGAATCGTGAAGGGATGTTTGAGGGTCTGTTGGTGCTACCATAGATCACAGTGACAGGGGCACTGCCAGGTGACTTCTGCTGGTACCAGCCATAATAGTTGTTACTACCCCCGGTGCAGGTGATCTTGACGGTGTCTCCCGGGTTGACTGACAGCGACTCTGACTGAGTCAGCGCTGCCTGCACCAGGGAACCTGGAGAGGGAGAGGAGAGAGGGGAGAAAACGGCCATCAGCGATTGCCCGACACGCACAGCCCTCCCCGCGCAGCAGTGGGACAGAGCCCCGTGCCCAAAGTCCCCGACCGGGCGCAACGAGTACCTGAGCTGTGGGCGAGCACCGCCAGGAGGAGAGGAGCCCAGGCCATGGCGCAATCCCAGTAGCTGTGTGTCCCCACGCCGATGGGGCTGCGCTGTGGACCTCGACGCCCTTTTATACCCGCGTCCTTCCACAGCACGCCCCCCATGCAAATAACTCCCTGTGCTCCCAGCCACGTCCTACGCCTCTCCCCACACCTCCCTGCCTGCTCCTGGCCCAGCCCCTGCACTGTGGCACAGCGGGGTTGGCCAGGCGTTGCAGTGGGGACACGTGGCGGCACCCAGGCGCTCAGCAGCCCTAAAGTGAGCCCAAAGTGCTGTGGTACCAAAGTGCCGGGGAGAGCCGGACCAGCGGGGCATGGCAGGAACAAGCCATGGCTCCCTTCATAGAATCACCGAATCACCGAATCACCAAAGTTAGAAAAGACCTCTAAGATCCTCCAGTCCAACCATCCACCTATTATTTTCCATTAAACCACATCCTCCACTACAACATCTAAATGTTTCTTGAACCGCTGCCTGCAGCGCTGCCCCATTTCACCCTCAGACATGTGATGCCCTGCCCTGGGCATGCTGGGTTTTAGCAGGTGGTAGTGCCTGAGCAAAAAAGGCCCTGGGGGCTGGCAGGACCCTCAGCAGCAGCAGTGCAGCCAACAAAGGGCTCGTACTGGAAAGGAGGCTGCCAAGATCAGCAGGAGCCAAGGGTGGTGAAGGCCTCAGAGCATCACTTATCCATGGGATTACTGCTTTGGGGCAGGAATGAAACAGAGCTGAGTAGAATTATCCAGCGGTGGCACCAGAGTCACTTGGCAAAGGCTGAAATGCAGAGAACAACCAGAATGTAGAATGGTTGGGCTAAGAGGGACCTCAAAGCCTACCCAGCTCCAAGCCATGCCAGGCAGGGACACCTCCCACCAGAACAGGCTGCCCATAGCCCATCCAGCCTGGCCTTGGGCCCTGCCAGGAAGGAAGCATCCAATACTTCTCTGGTCAACTTGTTACAGTGCTTCATCAACTCTGAGTGAAGAATTTCTTCTTCATAGCTAACCTAAATCTACCCTCTTTCCATTTTAAACCATTTCTCCTTGTCATATTGCTACAGGTCCTTGTATAAAGTCTCTCTCCACCTTTCTCATGAGCCTCCTTTAAGCACTGACAGGCTGCAGGGAGGTTGCCCCAGAGCCTTCTCCAGACCCAGCTCTCGCAGCCTTTCTTCGTAGAAGAGGTGTTCCAGCCCACTGATCATTTTTGTTGAACACTGCTCGATAGAGCAAAACACTCTTTTTTGCTGCAAGGCTGATCAAACGTTGGAACACGTGTCCCAGATAGCTGTGAAGTCTCCATCCTTGGTGACCTTCACAACCTGCCTGGGCAGATCCTGGTCAGCCTGCAGCAGCTGCCCCAGCATGGAGCACGGTGCGAGGAGACGATCTCCAGCGGCTCCACCGGCTCCAGCCATTTGGGGCTTTCCCCAGCCCCAGCACCTGCACTTCTTCCTCTTTGCTCTGCTGCTCTCTTGCCTGGGCTCACAACCCTGGTATCAGCCCCATCTCAATGCCTTCCCCTCTCTCCAGGCCTCTGCCTGAACAACAGAGCCCTTGGTCCCAACACCATGTCCCACACAGAGGCCAATGGGCCGGGGTCCCAGGGGTGTTATCCCCGTGAGTGGCACAGAGGAGATGTCCTACAATAGGTTCACAGGCAGCACAGCCTGATCCTCCACACAGGTTGCTCAGTGACCACATCCAAGTTGCAGCAGCAGGCACCTGAGGAGCCCTGGAACCTCAGCAGCTCCATCTTCCATTTCCCTGTTGCTAGAACTCTATGGCCATGGCCAGTGCCTCTTTCTCTGCCAGAGCAGTAAGAAACAGCTTTGTCTTGGGCTCCTGTGAAGATTAACATGACCACAGAGCAGAGCAGGTCTCTGTTGGTACCAGGGTTATGGTCTGAGCAGAGCTGAGCCCTGGAGCACTGTTCATGCACAGGGTACTGCTATTACCCCAGGCAGGTGCTGCTCAAGCACAGCCAGAAGCCCCCACTACTACCGATGCCTGCAGGTCTCCCAGGCACGTGCACACACCCCGGCTGCCAGGGATGGCTCAGCAGCCATGTCTGCCCTGCTTATGGGCTGTTGGGTATTTATGCACCAAGCTTGCCCAAGGCCTGGCTTTTGGCCACCTTCAGGAGGAAGAAACCAGCATGAGGCAGAAGCAACACTGCAACAGCAACATAGGGAGGCAAGATGGGTGGGCAGCAGGAGATGGGGTCCAGGGGCTATGTGCAGTGCAGGGCAGGGACAGGCATGCTGGAACCATCTCCTCCCTGAGTGATGGGCACAGTCCTGAGGCTCTACAGGAGGACAGAGCAGGGCACCTAGCGTAGCCACCTGCAGCACAGCACTGGGCCATGCCTGGGACTTGTGTCACCAGAATAATGGCACAGCAAAGGCTGCCAGCTGCTCCCTGAGATGCCAGGTCTGTGTATCCATTACTCTGCATCACTGTGGCACCAGTACCGCTGCTGTCTTCATTCTCACAGTAATAGACAGCCTCGTCCTTAGCTTGGACCCCAGTGATGGTTAACGTGCCTGTGGAGCTGGATGTAGAACCGGAGAATCGTGAAGGGATACTTGAGGGTCTCTCATCATCATAGTAGATCACAGTGACAGAGGCACTGCCAGGTGCCTTCTGCTGGTACCAGCCATAGTTGTTGATAATCAGATTCTGATTATCTTAGATGTGGGTGTCTTAATATCCCATATGTGACTGTGGGCACAGGGCCTCATCCCACAGCCTGGGGAGGGCTGTGTGTGTCAGACACTGCCCAAGCTCCATTTTCTCCCCTCTCTCCTCTCCCTCTCCAGGTTCCCTGGTTCAGGCAGCGCTAACTCCGCCAGCCTCGGTGTCAGCAAACCTGGGAAGAACCGTCAAGATCACCTGCTCCGGGGGTTACAGCAACTATGAAGGCTGGCACCAACAGAAGACACATGGCAGTGTCCCTGTCACTGTGATCTATGATAGCAGCAGCAGACCCTCAAACATCCCTTCACGATTCTCCGGTTCCTACTCCGGCTCCACGGCCACATTAACCATCGATGGGGTCCAAGCCGAGGACGAGGCTGTCTATTACTGTGGTGGCAGGGACAGCAGCATCACAGCAATAACGCCACTGCCAGGTTTATGCTGCTGTAAATATGATGCCTGTTAACCATGGATAGAGTTGGGAACCCTCACTACCAATCATGCCTTCAGGTCTCCTGGGGCATCGTCACAGGAACAGCAGAGACTGACAACTGCTCCCTGTGATGTTGTAGTGGAAATGCTGAGTCACAGCCTGCAGCAGTGATTGAGCACCTGGTAGAAAGACAGGGCCAACCCAGGGGAACTCAGGTGCATGCAATGTACCTGAGTGACCTGGGTCCTGGCTTTACCCCTTCCCAGACCTCATTTAAGGGTTGGCAGTGGAGGTGTGGGTACTTTGCTGGTGATCCCTGTGTTCTTGAGGTCTTCTAAAGGTAAGTAATTTTTATTTATCTGTTTCTGTGGTTGCTGCCTTTGGGTTTGTTCTCATTTGCTGTAGCCTACAGTTGTGATGGTCTGCTTTTATTGCTTACTTCCCATCAGCTTGAGTGATGCTCATTACAGATGTACAAAAGGTTATGTATCATTTTCCACTGCTCTGTGTCACCGTGATACCAACATAGCTGCTGTCTATGCTCCCACAGTAATAGACAGCCTTGGCTTGGACCCCAGCGATGGTTAATGTGGCTGTGGAGCCAGATTTGGAACCAGAGAATCGTGAAGGGATGTTTGAGGGTCTGTTGGTGCTGCTATAGATCACAGTGACAGGGGCACTGCCAGGGGACTTCTGTTGGTACCAGCCATAGTTGTAGCTACTCCCAGAGCAGGTGATCTTCGTAGAATCGCTCAGAGTGATTTGGGCTGGAAGGGAGCTTTAAGACCAAAAAGTTCCAATGCTTTAGGCAGGGTCACCTCCCCCTAGAACAGATTGCTCACAGCCCCATCCAGCCTGGCCTTGAATGTTTCCAGTGAGAGGGCAGCCATAGCTGCTTTGGGCAACCTGTTTCATTGTCTTGCTATCCTTACTATAAAGACTTTCTTGTTATTATCTAAACTAAATCTACTCTCTTCCAGTTTAAAGCCATTTCTCCTTGTCCTGTTGCTACATGTCCCTATAGAAAGTCCCTTCCCAGCTTTCCTGTAGGCCCCCTTCAAGTACTGGAGGCCACTGAAAGGTCCCCTGGTACCTTCTCTTCTCCAGGCTCCAAAACCCCAGGTCCCTCAGCCTGTCCTGTAAGGGAGGTGCTCCAGTCTTTTGATCATCTTTGTGGTCCTCCTCTGGACCTGCTCCAGCAGCTCCATGTCCTTTTTGTGTTGGTGGTACCAGAGCTGGATGCGGTACTCCAGGTGGGGACCCATGAGAGTAGAGCAGGGGGATGGAATCATATCAAATCTTGATGGCTTACTGCAGTTTTACTGACAACAAGGTGCAGCAAGCCTTCCCAGGATACCAGAGCTGTGGGCAAGCGCCACCAGGAAAGGAGCCCAAGCCATGGTGCAATTCCTACAGCTGTGCATCCCAGTGTTGTTAGGGCTATGCCATGGACCACAACTCACTCTTAAAAACTGCCCACTGTACAGGACCCTATGATCACTATTAGCTCCTTCTGCAGTGCTCTCCCTGCTCACTATGCTCTTTTTCTTGGCTCGCAGGAGCTGGCTGATCATGGTTAGCTATCACTGAGTTCCAAATTGGGGAACAGTGACACAGTGAGATGGACAACTCAGTTACTGACCTGAGTTCAAAATGGAGGCTTTCTGCACTTACTGACTTAAAGGCTGATCAGGGCTGTGGGGCTGAGGCAGACTTGTCCTCTCTGTGTGGCCATGTTTGTAAATGCTCTATACCTAGATTTATGAGATATCACTCTGCCACTTAGCCACATTGTACCCATCCTTGCAAAGACACAGCAATTTGTCATCCCCAGCCCTCCTCCATGGAGCTGCCTCTGTGCTGGGATGCTCTGGGCCGGGTTCTCATCCTTTAATGTGCCTGTGGCCATGGCTGAAGTCCCTTCTCCTTTAATAGCGGTGTTCCCCATCCCACTGCTGCTTGGGAGGGCTGTGTGTGTCAGGCACTTCTTGAGCACCATTTTCTCCCCTTGCTCCTCTCCCTTTCCTGGTTCCCTGGTGCAGGGAGCAGTGCCTCAGCTGGCCTCAGTGTCAGCGAACCTAGGAGAAACTGTCACGATCACCTGCTCTGGGAGTAGCAATGCTTATGGCTGGTACCAGCAGAAGTCACCTGGCAGTGCCCTTGTCACTGTGATCTATGGTAGCACCAACAGACCCTCAGACATCCCTTCACGATTCTCCGGTTCCAAATCCGGCTCCACAGCCACATTAACCATCGATGGGGTCCAAGCCGAGGACGAGGCTGTCTATTACTGTGGGAGCTACGACAGCAGCGGTACTAGTTATGGTGATCCAGAGAGATGTTGCACTGAATTGATGTATGCTGTGGTGGGACAGAAGGCATTTCTCTCTGCCACACTGCAAAGGCACAGCACTGTGCCATCCCAAGCACCGCTCCCTGCTGCTGGTGTGGCATGGCTGTGGCTGAGGTCCCTTCTCCTCCACTGGTACTGTTCCCTGGTCAATCGCTGCCCTGTGAGGGCTGTGTGTGGGGGGCACTTGCTGAGCTTCATTTTTCTCCCCTCTCTGCTTTCCCTTTCCAGGTTCCCTGGTGCAGGCAGCACTGACTCAGCCGGCCTCAGTGTCAGCGAACCTGGGAGAAACAGTTTCCACTGACACCCACATCTGTTCCTGGATTAACAACTATTATGGCTGGTACCAGCAGAAGTCACCTGGCAGTGCCCTTGTCACTGTGATCTATGGTAGCACCAACAGACCCTCAGGCATCCCTTCACGATTCTCCGGTTCCGTATCCGGCTCCACAGCCACATTAACCATCGATGGGGTCCAAGCCGAGGACGAGGCTGTCTATTACTGTGGGAGCTACGACAGCAGCGGTACTGGTTATGGGTGATCCAGAGAGATGTTGCACTGAATTGATGCCAAGTCTTAAAAATGCCAGCAGATGTGGGATGGGGCCCATTGCCCAAAGACCCCAGCTGGGCACAGTGGATCTTCCTAGGGCACCAGAGCTGTGGGTCAGCATAGCCAGCAGGAGAGGAGCACAGGCTGTGGCATTATTCCAGCAGCTGCCCATCCTCATGGCAATGGGTCTATGCCATGGACTCAAATTCCTTTTCATATCCTGGACTGCCCACAACACAGCCCACTCATGCAGAAGCTGCCCTCCCAGTGGTAGCTCCCATCAGATGCTCCCCCTGCCCAATGCAGCCATTTCCCTGGACCCCTGAAGACCAATTGTGGTTAGTTGTCACTAAGGTCAGAAGATGAGGCTGTGGTGGCTAATATAGCAGCACTAATGCTGGTATAGAAACAGAGGAAGATGCAGAACTGAGCTGCAGACCCGAGTTAAAAAAGACCTGAGTTAAAAACAGAGGTCTTCTGCACTTGCTGGCTTACAGCTGAGCAGGCCTGTGGGGCTGAGGCAGATTTATGTCTTCTCTGCGTGGCCATGTCTGTAAATGCCTTCCTTGGTGTACCTACCTGTATGAGAGGTTACTCTGGGTACTAAATCACATTAGACCTGTCCCTGAAAAGGCACAGCTCTGTGTCTCCCCTCCACCCAGCCCTGCTCCATGTTGCTGCTGCAAGGCCCAGCCTCCCACTGCTGGAGCTGTCTCTGTACTGAGCTGTTCTGGTCTGGGCTCTGTTCCTGCAATGCGCCAACCGCCATCAGAGTGGAAGGGACCTCAGCCACAGCTGTGGCACACTAGAGAAACTCTGCAAGGAGCCCCCGCAGTATGGAGGCAGCTCCAGCAGAAATAGGACAAGGGCATCAGCTGCTACAGGCAGGGCTGGGCGTGCTGCAGTGCAGTGCATCTTGTTGGGGTGTGCTCAGGACACTGCACAGCAACCCACGTTGCAGGGCAGGGAGTGTAGGGCTGTGGTGGGGACCTGTGCCACCATCAAACAGAGACAGCTAAGACTGCCAGCTGCTTCTTGTGCTGACAGGAGGTTTGTGTATCACTTCCTCACTGCTGTGTCGCCATGGGACCAGCATCACTGCTGCCTTCACTCCCACAGTAGCACTCAGGCTCAGTGATGGTTAATGTGGCTGTGGAGCCAGACTGGGAACCGGAGAATCGTGAAGGGATGTTTGAGGGTCTACTGGTGCTAGCATAGATCACAGTGACTGGGGCGCTGCTGGGTGACTTCTGCTGGAACCAGCCATGGTTGTTGACAATCCTGTGCAGATGTTGGTGTCCTGCTACCATATTTGTCCCTGTGGAATCAGGTGCCTTATCTGACAGCCTGGTGCGGGCTATGTATGTTGGGTACTTGCTGAGCCCTATTTTCTCTCTTCTCCCTCACACAAACCTGAAGGGAGAATGCGAAGTGAACAGAGCCAGGCTTTTTCCAGCAGAATCCAGCAGCATGACAAGAGGCAATGGCACAGAATGCAGAGGTTCTGCCTGGACGGAGCCAGGAGTTCTTAATCCCTAATCCACAGGTAACATAGCACTGAGAGGTTGCCCAGAGAGACTGTGGAGTCTCCTCCTTGGAGATCTGACAGCCACCTGCACACAGGCCTAGGCACTGTGCTGTTGATGTTGCCACTTAAGCAGAGGTAGGAGCAGATCACAATAATCATCCTGACCTGAAAGATTCTGCGGCTGTGTTTCTCTTCTGGCACAAGAGCAGCCAGCCCTGCTCTATGCCAGCAGCCCTGTGCTATGGGAAACATACCCTCTAAGTGGAGAGCTTTGGCCTGGTTGCTCAGGAGCCCACATGCTCCTTGCTGTCAGTGCTGGGGTGTGATTTTTGCCCTGCCATGTATAGTCCAGGGCAATGAGGGAAGGGCCTGAGTGGCACGGCTGAGTGTGAACCTGAGAGAGAAAGGCAGGAAACATCCATTTTTTAATTCAAGGCTGTACTTCAATTTCATACCTCGCTGTGTCACTACCAGCAGTACCGCTGCTGTCCCTGCTCCCACAGTAATAGACAGCCTCGTCCTCAGCTTGGACCCCATCGATGGTTAATGTGCCCATGGAGCCGGAGTAGGAACCGGAGAATCGAGAAGGGATGTCTGAGGGTCTCTCGGTGTTTTCATAGATCACAGTGACAAGGGCACTGCCAGGTGACTTCTGTTGGTACCAGCCATAACCATAGATGCTGTTACCCCCGGAGCAGGTGATCTTGACAGTTTCTCCCAGGTTTGCTGATACTGAGGCTTGCAAGTCACTGCTGCCTGCACCAGGGAACCTGGAGAGAGAGAGAGAGAGGAGTGAGGGGCTTATTGTGGGGGTATTATAGATTAAAGTGGTATTGTCAGGAGTCTTCTACTTGTACAAGTCATAGTTGCTGTTAACCACGAAGTAGAAGTTGGGAATGTTCTGTGTATGCCTGTGTGCTCAGCGGTGACCTCCCCACGAGGAGGAGGAGGGCTGTGTCAGGCACAGACTGAGCCCTGTTTTCTTCCCTCTCCAGGTTCCCTGGTGCAGGCAGCCCTGACTCAGCCAGTCTCAGTGTCAATCTGCTCTGGGAGTAGCTACAGCTATGGCTGGTTCCAGCAGAAGTCACCTGGCAGTGCCCCTGTCACTGTGATCTATAACAACAACAACAGACCCTCAGACATCTCTTCACGATTCTCCGGTTCCTACTCTGACTCCACGGCCACATTAACCATCACTGGGGTCCAAGCTGAGGAGGAGGAAGCTTGCATGGCAGTGTTGATCATAGTGGTGGTGGCCCAAGGACAGTTTCCCTCCTCCTTGTTGCTGTGTTCTTCCCTGCATGGGCAGAGCTGTTGAGGGCAGTCAGTTCTGTCCTCTGGGACCACAGCTGTTGTGTTGTTGCCTTTGCAGAGCCTCATTCATGTTCCTGTCCTATTGGGGTCTATGACAGCAGCTTTGTGGATATAAAAGCACAGGGAGACATGCAGTGACATGATGTCTAGGGATAAAAATGGCAGCCTTCTGTCTGTCTCCATTATGGCTGTGTTTGAGGTCTTGTCTCTTCCTGCCAGTGGTGTTCCCTGTCCCATGCTGCTGGATGGACAGTGTGTGCTGGGGAATCTCAGGGTGGCTCTGGGGGCAGCACCCACTGCTGTGGTTAGAAGGAGCAGAAGGCATGGCAGGGGTCTTGCTGGGAGAGCTGGTGCTGGCAGGATAGTGGATGCCCCAAATGGAAGAGAGGGACGCAGCTGTGGCCATTTTTGATGAGGGGTGTCCAGAACAGAGCAGCGCATCCCAGTGCCTCAGACATCTCCTGTGCCCCACAGTGTGAAAGGGAGGGCATCCATAGCCATGCGGATGGAGCAGGAAACTGTTGCACCCACAGTTCTGCATGGCCAAAAGGAAGATGGACAGAAAACAGTCGTATTTATGTCAGTTCCTTTTAATCATTGTCACCACACAGCACTGGAGCAGCATTCCCAGCTCCCACAGTAATAGACAGCCTCGTCCTCAGCTTGGACCCCATCGATGGTTAATGTGTGCGTGGAGCTGGATATGGAACCAGAGAATCGTGAAGGGATGCCTGAGGGTCTGTAGGTGTTATCATAGATCACAGTGACAAGGGCACTGCCAGGTGACTTCTGCTGGTACCAGCCATAATAATAACTGCCAGCAGAGCTGCTACCCCCGGAGCAGGTGATCGTGACGGTTTCTCCCAGGTTTGCTGATGCAGTGGCTGGCTGAGTCAGTGCTGCCTGTACCAGGGAACCTGGGGATGGACAAGGACAATGGGGTCTATACCCAGTATCACCCTCATTCCTAGAATATTATTTGGGGTAACAGTCAAGGTCCTGGCCATTCAGACAGGACAAGGGCCTCTTGAATTCCCATCACAGTAATTCCCACCATGTTCTCACTACATACTGTCAAAATACAGCATAGCAGCTGTTCAGTCTCCACAGTAATAGACAACCTTGTCCTCAGCTTGGACCCCAGTGATGGTCAGCTTGTGCATGGAGCCAGATGTGGAACTGGAGAATTGTGAAAGGATGTTTGGGGGTCTGTTGGTGTCACTATGGATCACAGTCACAGCACCATTACCAGGTTTCTCCTGGAACCAGCCATACTGATGGCTACTCCCAGCGTGACCAATCCCTGGTCTTGATGCAGGGCCCCAGGCAACGCCTGCAGGAGCAGAAATACAGCGAAGCCATGGGACCTGATGTGCAGGTTGAAGGAGAGCAGTAGGAAGGAGGGGAGACCCTAGAGCCAGGCTGAGAGGAAGCAGCAGAGAAAAAACTTCTTTGTCTCACTACCCCAGGGATCGGTATCATCCTCAGGCCACCATTCCTGTCATTGCCACTGCAGTAATGAGCAGTGTTGTCTGCAACTTGGACCACAGTTACAGTTAATATGTTAATGTGGTAATGTGATAATTCATGTGTGTGGGCCTTGACTGGACCCCAAAGAATTTTAAGAGAATGCGTGTGGGTCTACCAGTGTTAGCATGGATCCCAGTGTAAATCGTAGTAAATCACAGTGGCAGGGACACTGCCAGCTATCTTCTCCTGGTACCAGCCATAGATGATGTTAATCCTGGAGCAGATGTGGTTATCCTGTTGTCCCATGTGTGTCTGTGTGCTCAGCAGCCTCATCCCTCTGCTAAATGAGGATGCTGTGCATGTTGCGAGCTCACTGAGCCCCATTTTCTCTCCTTCTCCAGGTTCAGGCTGGTGCAGGCAGCGCTGACTCAGCCTGCCTTGGTGTCAGCAAACCTGGGAGAAACTGTCACGATCACCTGCTCTGCCACTAGCAGTAGCTATGGCTGGTTTCAGCAGAAGTCACCTGGCAGTGCCCTGGTCACTGTGATTTACTACGACAACAACAGACCCTCGAACATCCCTTCATGATTCTCTGGTTCCAAATCTGGCTCCACAGGCACATTAACCATCACTGGGGTCCAAGCTGAGGATGAGGCTGTCTATTACTGTGGGAGCTTGGACAGCAGTACTGATGCTGGTATAGTGTCACTGGGAAATGAGCAACTGATGGATTGATCAGGATTAAAAATAGAGGTTTTTCACCCT